AAAAATAAATATACAGGACTTGCTTACATACACTACCTTAAAACATGAGAAAACGATCGAATCCAAAGGGGTTTGCACTCCTGAAACATAAAACTGTCTTGCAACGACAGGTCAAGTTGCCCACTTTGGGGGCCCGAGCCAGGAGGAGAAGGACAAACGATACCAAGATGCGCCACAACACCATAGAACAAAATATCAAAAGACCGCGGCTGGGAGTAGGAGAAGTGGAGTCAGCGAGAGCGGGCCGAGGAACTGCACGGCTGGCGCTTAATATGCTCCTGTCTCCTCAGGTGGACCCAATCAGCATGCAGCGACGTAGCTAATCAGCTAAGGGACCACCTGTTGCTCTACACACACACCACACACACACACACCAACACACACACCCACCACACACCCCACACACACCACACCACACACAACACACACACACCACACACACACACACACACAAAACATACACACACATACCCAAACACACTCAACAGCCACAGGGAGGAGGGAAAAAATGTTACACACAATGAACCTAACGACCAGGGTCGTAAACACAACTGCATTGTGCTATCTGTCGGCTGTTTGTTTATAAAAAACTAAAATCAAAGTTTAAAAAAATAAAATAAATAAAAAGAACATGTTTACATCGTGGTCAAAAAAACCATAATTGTCATGTACAGTTAGATCCCCCTTCAATGAATATGGATTGGGGGGGTGATAGTTTTTTCTCAACTCATCTGTTTAATAATATTAAGCCTTAAAGTTATTGGCATATATTAGGGCGTGGTCCCACATTGAGTGACAGCTCTGTAAGTGACTGCTGCTGCTAGTCTTGTTAGCGTGTAAGCGAGTGATAGCTACATCGGTGCTAACGATGCTAATAGTAGCCTCCAAGTTAAAATCATAGACTATATTTATAAAGGTTAAAACGAAATAGACAAGTGTTAAGCGTTAAGTGGGATAATACTGTACAACAAATGGCTTCTGTTTGAGGTTGATAAAATAAGGTCATCCTTGTAACTTAGAGAGATGATTATTATGTAGGTAGGAACTGTATGCATGGCTAAGGTTAATTTAAATTGGCTATGCTCAAGTATGTAGACAAGCTAATGTCGAAGTAGTGTATGTGAAATCAACCTCACAATAAGATGTGTGTATATTACAATTATTAATGTCATATTTCAAGATGATTACTTAGATATTACAATATGGTTGGTTGAGCTGGAGTTCATTATTGAGCTTACACGTTAACATCACAGTCATCTGAAGAACAAACCCAAACCTTGTTGTTTTTATGAATTGCATTACCAAATTGGTATCAAAGAAACAGTAAGCATTGGTAACACAACTTCCAAAGTTACAGTAGAATAAAAAGGACCCTGACTCGGACAATACACAATCCAACATGTTCAACAGAAAATAATCAGTTATATTGTTTGTACATATGGTACTTTACATATATATCNATATCACATCATAATGTATCATATATTTCCTTATCTGAGTCAGCTGAGCCGTATTTGGCCGTGCAACACTTACAGTGTCACATACTGTATGCAGAAGTATTATTATACTTCTGCATACAGTATGTGACACTGTAAGTGTTGCACGGCCAAATACGGCTCAGCTGACTCAGATAAGGAAATATATGATACATTATGATGTGATATGCCGCGGACTGTACTTAATGTTACTCTGATCTGGTTACTTATGTTGTGGCAGATATGTAAGTAAGCTTTCTTAACGCTAATGTTATAATAGTCAGATTGCTCTGAAGATGGGAGGTGATATTCTATTAATGTGATGTTCACACAGTCGGTGATTTTTGCCGGCCGACTTTCATGCAACGGCAGCTTTTCTGTATTTCCTTTCTCCCAGGGTTCGAGTTATAAACTGAGCTCTATGGGGGTCTTTAAAACTAACGCATGCGTGCGTGCACGCGCACGTGCAGGCGCGCACACAGTCACAGGCATAGATTGCGCAATAATGTATTGCGCACCTTGGAGGTGCAGACTCCAACTGATGGTATATATTGCACACCCTGGCCTTGCGAGTATACAATTAGTGTCTGATGTGTTAGAGCTTCAAAGATCATTACAAAATCACAANGTACACCCATATATAATTGACGACGGTAATACCCGTGCGTTCGTTAAAGTGGGGTAAATAATTAGTATATACAAAATTTAAACCTCACAAAGGATAAGGATTTGAGGTCCCTACATGTGTCAAATTATGACCGTTTGAAGATTATACCCTTTATGCTTTTTGCAGAAAAATTTGATGTTAAGGGGTCATCTCTGCCAATGGTAGTCTCGTACAACGTTTTTGTCGTGTGTTATGCGGGCGTACATATCAAGACCCCTGCCCCACCCCCCTCCCCCCTGGCCCCACCTGCGGCAAGTTTAGGTCAAAACCTGTCAGACCGGCACCAAGGTAGGGGTAAAGTTTCACACAAGCTGCGATGGCCGTGTATTTTCGGCAGGTGGCCGCGTTTGTGGTTTGGTAGGTTAGTCGAACTCCTGATAGTGCCC